GTTCGTATATTGTTGTTATTACTAACAACAATATATAATAGTTCGTATATTTTTTTTATATAACTTTCATGCAGATTTTATCTGTTGTTTTCTTTATTTTTTTATTTTAATGACCAAAAACTATAAAGTATGTGTAGTGAAAAAATAACACTCAATTATCATTAAACTATGTTGTATAATTGTGGAGTGTATTAGAGTATAAATGTCTAGTGTGTAGAGAAAAAAATGTTAAATTTACAATTATTAAACTATGTTGTATGAACCTAACTTGTTTAGTATCTATTTTTGCCTTATTTTATATCTGTCAAGTCCCGTATATTTAAAAGATGATTTTTTTTTTTAAATTTGTTTTTGTCCATATTACTTTATTTACCTAATATCTTCATATTATTATTACTTTAAAAATCATTATTTCATTTTTTTTTTTTTTTTTTTTTTTTAATTATCTTCGCTTCCAACAAGGTTGCAAGCAACCACTAATTAGTGTTGGAAGTTACTGGAAGAGAAAAGATGAAGATTGCAGAGCAAGATAACGATTGACAGACGACTTAAAAAATTGCAAATTATATGAATCAGGAAAGCAAGATGAAGGAAGCGAATTCCAAAGAACTGATGTTCGAGGAAAAAAACTAGACGAATAAGAGTTTTTGGAGCACTTAGGAATAGTAACAGAAAAAGGATGAGACTTAATTGAATGACGAGTAACACGAGAATGAATTTTAGTAGATGGCACAAGAGACGCTAGCTCTTTAGAGCAGTGCCCATTATAGTATTTGTAGAAAAGAGAAAGAGAAGCAACATTACGACGATGTGACAGAGGTTGAAGGTTGGCTGCAAGAGCAGGTCCAACTATGTTTACAATGCGTTTTTGCACCTTGTCTAAAAGAGAAAGGGCATCATTAGAAGATCCGCCTCAGATATGGCAACAGTATTCCATACAAGGCCGGATTTGAGATTTACAGAGATAGAGAATAGAATCCAGAGTAAGAAAGTGACGAGCTCGATAAAGAGAAGCAACTTTAACAGATGCTAATTTTGCAATGGATTTGATATAAGGTTTCCAAGAAAGATCAGAAGTAAGAGTTAATCCTAGAAGATGAAGGCTAGGAGACTCATCGAGTACATTACCGTTCATAAATATAGGAAGGTCTAAATTATTGCGATAACGATTGAAAAAGAAAGAAAATTGAGTTTTATCTGAATTAAAGTTCACCAGCCACTGCGAGCCCCATGCTGTAGCAGAAGTGAAATCCTTTTCGAGCTCAGATGCCCCCTGCAAGCAATCAGAGGGAGTTGGCTTCTTATCGTGACAAGAATAAATGGTAGTATCATCAGCGAACAATGCCACCTTAAATGTGAGAAAATCTGGAAGATTGTTAATGTAAATTAAAAAGAGTATAGGGCCAAGGATTGAACCTTGGGGAACCCCTGAGGTTACAGAATAAGAAGAAGAGTGCTGTCGATCAAGGGCAACTTTTATACTACGATTGGAAAGAAAAGATTCAATAATCTTAAAGATACTTCCAGATACACCATAAGAAGAAAGCTTATGGAGGAGACCAGCATGCCAAACTTTATCAAACGCTTTAGAAATGTCAAGAGCAATGGCCTTAACCTCTCCACCTTTATCTAATGCGCGATAAAACCTATCGGTTATTACTGATAGCAAATCAGCCGTAGAACGAGAAGATCGAAATCCATACTGATGATCAGAAAGTAGGTTATGAGATTCGAGATGAGAGATTAAGTGTTTGTTAATTAAAGGTTCAAAAACCTTGCTTATGATAGGAAGAAGACTAATGGGACGGTAGTTAGATGAGTCAGATCGCTCTCCAGAATTTTTAAAAATAGGGATAACAGATGCTGCTTTCCAGCAGGCTGGAAAACAAGACTCTGATAAGCACTTGTTGAATAGTTTTGAAAAGATAGACGACAGCTCAGGAGAACACTTCTGCAAGACTATAACAGGTATGTTGTCCGGGCCGCAAGCTGTAGAAGAGTCCAAGCGGGAAATCACTTTAGATACAGAAGCTGGAGTGATACGAATGTCGAGCAATGGATCAACCTGTTTGACGGGTATATCAGGTAAAACGCAACTAGTGGCATCAAGAGATGATATTGATGAAAAGTTCTTGGCAAACAATTCAGCTTTGTCTTTAGGTGAGGTGAGAAAGTCTGAACCGTACAAAAGAATTGAGTGGAATTACAGACTGGCCCTTATTATTGATACTATTAAAGATTCTCCAGAAGTCACGAGAGCCTAATTTTTGTGATGAAATACGAGATTTCATGATCTGAGAATAGCGGGTTTTGGCGTTAGACAAAACCTTTTTACAATGGTTCCTAGCAGTAATAAAGAGACGCCTGTTTTCTGGAGAATTGTTTTGCTGATAGATATGGAAGTAATGGTTTCGATTGGCAATTGCAGCAGCACAATGTGAGGAAAACCATGGAGAAGAGTGAGGCTTGACCTGGAATCGTCGAGAGGGAATAAAGGATTCCATGCCAGCCTGAATCCACGAAGTTATGTAAGAAGCACATTTGTCAACAGGGAGACGAAAGATTTCTACCCAGGGACCATCACGAAGAAAGTCACGAAAAGAGTCCCAGTCAGCTTTAAGGTAGTTGTAAGATGTACAATGATAGGGGGATTCTAATGGTAAAGAAAAATGAGATAATAGTTTTAGAGAGACCAAACCATGATCAGACGCACCTAAGGGTGAGTGTGAAGAAACTGAACACTGACTAGGATCAGAAACAAGACATAAGTTGAGTAGAGAAGGTAAATGATTCGGGTTGTCTGGAAAGCGAGTTGGAAAGTTGACTGTTTGAGTTAGGGATTGAGAAAGACAAAAGTTGTGGGCCTTAATGCCTGCAGAGTCACTGACACTAGAGCCAAGCCATTCAGTGTGATGAACATTAAAGTCACCGACAACAACAATATTGGCTGATGGATAAAGAATGAAGGCTTGGTCAATATAATCAGAAATAACATCAAGAAGAGTGCAGTCTTGGGATGAGGGAGAGCGATATAGAACAACGAGAAAAGTGGTAGAGTGAAGTGGAGCTAAACGAAAGCACATAAAAGAGTAGTCTGTGGATTCACATAAAAGCACATAAAAGAGTAGTCTGTGGATTATAATAGTAATAATAATAATAATAATAATAATAATAATAATAATAATAACAATAATAACAATAATAATAATAATAATAATAATAATAACAATAATAATGATAATAATAGTAGTAATAATAATAGTAATAATAACAATAATAGTGATAATTCACCGAGTTAAGATTTTACATATTTTCATATGAAGATATTAGATGGAGTAATTAAACTACTCCAATTTTGTCAACATGCGCACAATTTATTACCTTTAACTATACTTTCCTTCTAATATCTTCATATGTATGTAAATACTTTACTCTGTAAATAATTAATATCTAAAATAAGAAAACACACAGCAACTTCGAGGATTATTTATGTATATATATATATATATATATATATATATGTTCCTGACTCGATAAAATTATTTGTTTTCGCTAATCCATAATGGTAGACTTATTTTTCAATATTTGTGACGTCGCTCCGACCCGAAGGATTGAAATGAGTAAAAAAAAAAATTTACTTTTATCAATCTCACATTACACAAAAGGCTTATTGCCTGCATCAAAAATAGAAGAAAGCTTTCTTGCAGAGCTAGATTGATTTTTCAAAGTATTATAAACATCATAAACACCAACAATCGGTTTGGAACTATGCCATTCCATATTCTTTTTTTATTACGAGAAAAATTTTGTTTGTAATATTTTCCTTTTTACTTGATATTTTTAGTGCCATTTATTGTAAGTATATACTATATATTTAATCTAAATAAAATAGAAAACAGTATCATGCATGATAAACAGTTTTTAAAACATTGTTTGAAATTTTTTTGCATTTTTCATATCTAAAGCTGATAAAAACAAGGTTTATACTTTCCAAGTATAGCTTTTAGATAAAGCAATATAAAGCAAAGTTGACAAAAATAATGAGAAACAAAAACTCTTAATGGTTTGAGAATAAATGGGCTAACAAAAAAATTCATGGTAACTAAGAACGTTGCTGTGAAACTTTAGAATAACCTTTATATGTTTATTGGTTAAGAAAAACATAAATATTTTATATACTTTTTAAATATATTTCTTTTTTAATTTTCCAAGCAAAAGTATATGTGCTAAAAAAAGTAATTCTAAGAAAAAATTTCAAAAATTTTCAATATTTTTTTAAAATTTTAATGATTTTTTAAAGCCCTACCACCTTAAATATAAAAAAAAAAAAAGTGGGTGGGCACGTGCCCCACTGCCCCCTTCCCCTCTGGTGTCGTCGGCTCTGTGATAAATAATGTTAGGAAAAATAATCTTTGCTTTCACAACAAAATTGTTAATAGAATAATAAACTTTTAATAAATAAAGTAAATAAATTAATTTAATTTTTTTTATTTGTTACTCTCTAATTTTTATTAAATAAGAAAATCATTTGTAGTTGCCAAGCCGCAAATCAAAATAATCATTTAAAAATTCAAAAATTTTGCGTATTTCAATTGGTTTATGCAAATATCGAGAAAAGAAAGAAATTTGTTATTATCAAACATTTTTAAAAATGTGAAAATGTTATATTAGATTTAATTATCTTATATAATTTTATATATATTATATTTAAAAAAAATCATTTCTTTATAGTAATAATAAAAAAGAAGCTAAATAATATTTAACTCTTTTTGAGATAATTAATATTATTGCAGTAATTTAAAAAAGTTGATGCCTTTAAAAAATAAATAAATAAATAAAGAATGATGGTTTAGTTTGATTAAATTTTTTTTTAGCGCTTAGATTGATCATCCAATCGTTTTTTAAATTTATTAAATCTGATATGGCGCTAGTGAAATTTTGACTCAGGGTATCAAAAATGGTTGGAGCAGGCCTGTGTATATAAATTAGATAATGCTTACTTCAGGTAACATATGAAGGATTCCATCACCAGACAATACTCCAACACCCATACTAATAATAAACAAAAGAAATGAAGGAAACCACCATTTTTTATTCAGAGGTGAACAAATTAAACCAAGAAAAGAAAATAAATTGATAACAGTGACGCCAACGATAGTTGCAATCCATGCTAAAGTTAAAAATATATAATATATACTATTTTCATATGTACATACATACATACATAATAAAGTGTAATAATTTTTTATTTATCAAATAGTCCAATCTAATCAAAAAAAATATATATATATATATATATATATATATAATATATATATATATATATATATATATATATATATATATATATATATATATATATATATATATATATATATATATATATATATATATATATATATATATATATATATATATATAAGAAATACTACTTCTGATATATAAAAAATATACTAATGAAACATTTTTATTTTGTCCTCATAAATACAAAAAGAAATTCAAGGAAGGAAAATATAAACTCTATTAAAATAATTTTTTTGTAACCAACTTCTAATTGTTGGATTGCAATTGCTCTTTCAATATACATTTAATATCTATATCATAATTGGTAAATAGTTGAAATCATATAAAAATTTGAACCAAATAAATAACATGTGAAGCATTTTAAACTTTCTTTTATACATTAAAATTAAAGCAAATAAAATAAAATTGAAAAAAATTAAAAATTAAAGTATTATAAAAACAAAATTAAATTAAAAAAAATAAAAAGCTCTGAAAAATAAAAAAACATGCTAGAAGTAAAACTCACACGAATTAAAAATATGCATTTAAAATTAATTATATATTTTTTTTATTTTTTAAAAGCAACTTTATTGTCTTTATAAATCAAGTCATTAATAACTTTTATATCATTGTTGAAGTATATGTTGGAAATAGTGTGGTGAACATGATCTCGCCCCATAATCCAGTGGATGAAACATAAAAATGCTTCATGCTTGATTGCAACAAAAAAGAAAAAGTTTATCTGCTTTCAGTTTTAGTCTTGTAGTTTTGCACTATTAAAACTCAATCGATTATGCAAAACCATCACAAACATAATCAATAAGGTATGGTGATGGTTCTATCAGCCCACCTCTTGATAAAATATTTAAATAATGTGTATCATAGGAATCTATTGTAGGATTACTACAAATGCAAAATTTTTTGCAACATTTTCAAAACCTTTTTACAATATACCCAACAATATACACAGCAACTTAATAAGATTTATCGGAGAGTATAACTTTTTCAAAGTTAATCCCTTCCATTTCATTTGAAAATTTATTTCAATGTTTTTTCTCATCAGCTTTTATATTATTTTCTATAATATTGAATGATTCTTTTACCAAATTTTTTATTTTTGATAATATTTGACTATATCCTTTAAATTTACCAGAAATTGGCCACCACTTATTTGGTTGAAACGCCTTTCAATAGGGTCACTTTGGAAAATGAGCAGCCAAAATAAAGTCAAACCATTATATAAAAGATCTTCTATTAGAGATGCTTGGCATATGTCCTTTGTGAAGTTAAAGATTTTTGAGTTAGTTAGATAAAGTTTTTACAATTACAAATTTTTTAACTTTCCCTAGTTAATAGCCGCAGTGCCATTGCACGCAAAAACTTAGGCTTTTTATCATCTTTAGTCGCTGCTCTTTCAACTATTACTAAAGCACACGTTGAAAAGATGCATGAAATTAGAAGCATCTTTGGAATTCAGAACATAAAATTTTATAGCAGCTATAATAGATTCATGAAAAATATCAAGAGCAATCTGAACATTCTAAATTATTGAATTTGCCTGGGTATAAAACTTTATCGCAAAATCTAGTAGCCTTTCTTAAATTTGTATCCAAGTTTACATCCTTTTCATAAACATTGTGCAAGAGTTTTCAGGAAATTTACCAGACATCAAAATAGACTTGACTATTTTTTTAAATTGATGTTTTTAAGTTCATCTAAAAAACATAATTTTCGCTTGTCCTTTAAGATACGAAAGAAAGTGTTCTTGCATCCTTTGCTTACTAAGTTTAAAATTTTTTCCCATGCTTGAACCAATGCAACAAAGATACAGGAAAACTTTTAAGAAACAATTTCACGCGCAAGTCTTTATCAATCTTGATATACTCAATAACTTCTGGCACACACTCATTATTCAATTCAAAAGAAAAATAACATAATCATCATAAGTAAAGAATTGTTTTTTAAAAATGATTGCTATTTATCTTCTTGAAAAACCTTTTTTTAAGAGATCTTCTTTGCGGTGAAATTGTAGATAATAAAGATAGTGTTTCTATACAACCTCAATAAATAGCAGGGACTGATTTTAATGCCTTATTCAAACAGAATCTTTTATCTTGTTTACCGTTATTTATAAGTTTATTGTCGATGCGCTTTTCATAGACTGCTGATGAGGAAATCGGTCACCAGTTTTTTCGGTTCACAAATCAAATCCATCTGTTTTTTGCATCTTCGTTTGTTGGAAAATAGAAAAATAAAATACTAGAACTGATTTATTTCATGAATAATTAGATTGACATCCAACGACACAACTTTTGTTAACCATACTGCACATACAGCTATTTAAATAAATGGCCTTCCGTTTATTCTGCAAAAATGCAGGATTTGAGGCTGTGTATTTTTTGTATACCATAATATATACTATGAATCCGTGATAGAAAACATGTCTGACATTACGCTGAAATAGCATGCTGCTGGGGGCTTCATTACATATATCGTCTATCTGATAGCTTGCTGCCGCAAGGGAATGCCGCTAAACCGACTCAGGGTTTGTGACATAAATACTCTATAGTAGATAAAAAATTTGTTTTAAATAATCTTTTAAATTGAAAAAAAAAACGTACGTTTCCAGCCACCATTGTTTCCTTCTTGTGAAGCTGGTTCTGGTTCTGGTTTTAGTAAACAGTATCCACTGTCAATCTGTTGGACTATGGCAGAACAAATATCTTTAAACTTATCTCTATCTATAGTAGAGTTATCAACAACATTGAATATTTCAAAAAGATCTTTTGCAGCATAGCACTATTAAAGAACAAGGAAAATGTACCTTTTACGTCATATATAAAAATGTGTGTACATATATATATATACACACAGACACACACAGACACACACACACACGCACACACACACACACACACACACATATATATATACATATATATATATATATATATATATATATATATATATATATATATATATATATATATATATATATATATATATATATATATATATAATATATATATATATATATATATATATATATATATATATATAGATATACATACATATATATACATATATATATATATATATATATATATATATATATATATATATATATATATATATATATACATACATATATATATATATATATATATATATATATATTATATATATATATATATATATATATATATACAACTATATATATATATACAACTATATATATATACATATATATATATATATATATATATATATATATATATATATATATATATATATATATATATATATATATATAGTATATATATATATATATTATATATATATATTGTATATATACATTTATATATATATATATATATATACATTTATATATATATATATATATATATATATATATATATATATATATATACATATATATATATATATATACATATATATATAAGGGCGGATCCAGACCATACCGTAAGAGAGGGAGAGGGCAATTTAAAATATTATTTGATTTGGAGGATGCAGACGATTTAGTTAGAAAGAAAGGAGGGGGCATATATATATATATATATATATATATATATATATATATATATATATATATATATATATATATTATGTATATATATATATATATATATAATACATATATATATATATATATATATATATATATATATATATATATATATATATATATATATATATATATATATATATATATATATATATATATATATATATATATATATATATGTATATATGTATTAGGGTGTTCCACTTTTACCTTGACCAAAAAAATTTCACATGCACCCTATCTCAATCATTCTTATTTGGTCACAACCAAATAAGAATGATTGAGATAGGGTGCACTCACCAAAAAAAATTTTAGGTCTCCAAGTCAAGGGGATCCAGTACAAGGTATTGTTATATGCTAGGTTGCATGGAATTATTCGCCCCCTTCCTCTCGGTGCCCCTAATTTATGGATTGAATAGTAGAAAATTGTCTATTTTACATTTATTTTTGTTCTGGAAAAAAAATCTTTTATTTAAGAGGTAATACTTGTACTATGTACAATGTGATTTTCGACTTTATTTGTCTTTAAATGACCAATATATACAATGTACATATTGATCGTTTAAAGACAAATAAAGTCAAAAATCACATAAAAATTACATTTTAATGTGATTTTTATCCGATTTTAGACATATAATTAGATTTTAAACAAAAATTGAAATATAATGTCTTGATGAGTAAAGTCAGATAGTCTTGATTCAAATATGTTGTTTTGCAATAATTTGTCATTGTTTTAGTGGTATTAATTCCTTATTCAAATAATTGTTTTTATGTAAAATATTATAAGACCATTACATTTTATACTTTTCAGATTATAATAAATTTCTTAAAATATATAATGGCTGATAATGATGAAGATGGGTTTCCTCGTTAATCTGCAAGGATTAGAAATGGTCGGAGTACTCTAAAAGAGAAAAATGAGGAAAGCTTCTTGGTTACTACACGTTTCAGAAGTCCTCCTCCAATGAGATATACCTCTCCTAGGACTAGCAGGGGTTGTCAACCATGAACCTCAAGTACATCCTTTAACATAAGTTTAGCTCCACAAAAAACTAATAGATGTAAAAGAACAATCTACATACTTCAGTATCCACTAAATTTGTTTGCACCAAACAGGTATTATTTTAAAATTTAATTAAAATAATGAATTGGAAAATTTTTTTTTAGGTAAAAAACTTTTGAAACAAATATGTAAAGACTTTTTTTTTGAATTTTTTTTAGACTACCCACACTGGGAGAAGTTTGTTGTAGAATATATTGGTTCAGAGCAAGTAAGAATAACGCAAAACTAACATGTGAACAAAAGACAAGATCTATGCTTTGCATTGGAGTGGAGTGTACAAAAAGTAACAAGAGAGAATTTGCTGGAGTATGAATTTTGAGAGAAACTGTCTTTGGGACGATGGTGCATTTGATTCAAAATTTCGGGTTACAGAACAAGTAGTGAAGAAGAAGCTTGAGAAATCTTATGAACGCTACAAGAAACTGTGTAGTTTTAGAACCCTTATGGAAATAAACAAGATCAAAGAAGAGCAATTTAAACAAAAACAGAGAGTTTTATAAGAGAAGCAAACTGTATTTTTTCTGTTTATAAAACAGACATCTTAAAAGTTATAAGAGATGACGAAAATAGAGACAACGATGACGAAAATAGAGACAACAATGACGAAAATAGATACAACAAAATAGATGACGAAAAACGAAACAAGTAAGCAAAGACATAAGATATTGAGTTCCTGAAGAGAGCATTCAAATGAAAAATGGTTTGACACTGGAAAAGATAAATCTTATCAAGAAAAAATCATAGGCGGGGAAAAATAAATGTTAAATATGATAGAAAGTATGCGTAGAGAAGAACAACATAAAAAGGAAAAACAAGAAATGTCAAAGAAAAAAGCTATAGAGGACATAGAAAAGATGAAAGATCTTTAGATAGAACTATCTTCAAGTGGTACGAGTGCCACTGATACTGACAGTGAATTTGAGTCTTGCCAAAAAAAAAAAGAAGATCAGTGAAGATAGAGTTTACATGAAGCTTTCAATGAATGATGTGCTTGACAAGAGGATTCCTTTCTTGACTAGGTACTAGGTCAATGTTTGAGCTGAAACTTCACTTCTGTCCTCACTTTTCAAGGTTGGTGGTGTTGATCTAAATAAAGTTCCTGTATCAAAGAGTAGTCTAAATAGAAACAAAAAGATTGTGATTGAAAATGAAGCATGAATAGTGAGAGAAGAAAATCTGGACAAAGTTTAAAGCTCATCATTCATTTTGATATAAAACTGATCAAACACTATCGAACTGACCAAAAAATGTCTGAATCTGTAGAAAGGCTTGCTCTCAGTATATCATATTGACCCCCCAGGTCAATAAACCCTTAGATTTTTTGCTAGAAATTGTTTTGTTCTAGAAATTAATTCATCTAAAGGGCAGGATCAAGGTATAGCTATTCAGAACATATAAGAGTATTATGAACTCACTGACCAGATCATTGGATGTAGTGCTGATACAACGGCCTCTAATACTGGAAAATACAAGGGGACAATTAAGTTCTTGGTGGATCATGTGCTTAAAAGACCTGTGCTATGGCTGCTCTGTAGGTAATTAAATTATTTTGATAACATATTTTAAAAGTTTGTTGCACGAAACTGTTGCAAAATTATTACATTTTATAGCTTTCGAAAATTGATCTTTAAAGGGACCATATATCTGAAAAGCATATTTCCCATGTAATGGATTATATTTAAGGTTCAACAAAATCACGTATAATATATATAAATTTTCAAAAAGTCCGGCCAAAAATAAGAGAAAGGAATAATAATGTTGATCAGTTGCTTTTTTTCAATTATGGGAGAGACGAGTATATGGTAGGTACTGATTTTCATAGAAGGGTATTAGATACTAAGAATTTCTGCATAACAGCCCTAAAACAAGATTATTTTCAAAGGGGATATTATAAAGTTTTTTGTGAGCTAATAGTGATTTACCTTGGTGGCCATGTACCTGGCTTCCAGTTTAAACAACCAGGTGCCCACATTCAAGCAAGGTTCATGGCTGATTGTCTATACTTGCTTACAATGCAGGTGACTTCAACGATTAATTTAATGCTGAATAAAAGTGAGAAAGATATGCTTGAACTGTCAACTGACTTTATTGTCACATTTTATGGAGCATACTTTTTAAAGTCTTCTATGGCGGCCCAGGCTCCATCACACCATTTGGATGCTTTTAAGCTAGCTTTTGAAATGATGAGCAATAAGCTATATACATCTAAGTATGGCCCCCTGGGAAAGCTGCTCCATGCAAGCCTGGTCCTTCATATTTGGTATCTTACCCCACAGCTACTTATTCTTTCAATAGCAAATAGACATTTAGGACTGAAGGAAAGAGCTGGACTTGCTCAGAAGCTGCTTGGTTTCAATTGACCGCAACCTGATGATTTTGAAAGGAAACAACCTCAACCGCCAACTGATGTGGTTCCCATATCAGTTTTGTCTGACTTTATCACTAAGAACTCCTGGCTGCTTTTCATATACCTAGATATAAATACGGGAGTAATCAACACATGGATAAAGGATAACTTTGAAAATGATTCCTACAAACATTTTCAACATCGAGAATCTAGAAGTAGTTAATGAAAGGGCTAAGCACCACATAAAACTTGTGAAAGATTTGTGGCTGAAAGTCATGAAGTAGGTCTTCTACAGGATACATTGCAAGTTGTGCAAAAAAACCAAAAAGAGGT